TTCCTCTACTATTTCACAATATGACGAAAGGAAGTAAATTCCATCAAATGTCAAAGCATTATAAGAATGTCGAAGAAAATGCGCAAATTGCCTCCAAAACACATACATTGTTGGGGCTTCCGAGACCGCAACAGCATTTACATAAAGATGTTGAAACCTTATTAAGTTCAATCAGTTTAAACATTTGAGCATGTTATATACCAGCAAAGATCCAACAAATCCACAAAATGTTTAAGGAAAAAAGAAAGAAAGGAAAAAAAAAACAAGGAATCTAAATGCATACCAGGAACGACAGGGCGGAGATTAACCAAAGCATATGAAAGCTGAGTAGCGTAAAACACTTCCTTTGGGTCGATTTTATAAGGGCCAAACTTAACGCTCTCAGAATCCATCTAGGGCATACAAATTTTTCAACATCAAAACGTGATTAAAGCTTGAATTAAGAATAATATACAATTGAAAAACACTAGGGCCACCGCATAACTGATCTCAGTATACAAAAAGGTCCACGACGAATTTTAAGTCGAATTTCTAGACTTGCCTGGGCAAATGTGCGAACGGAGGAAGAATAGAACGCTTTGGTTGTTCGCACGGCGGCGATGCTGCGGATGCGGAGGAGAAAGTGTGGCCAGCTGGTGGTGGGGTGAGATGAGTACACGAATGAATTGATCAAACGAAGGGAATAAAAAGGAGGTCGTGGATTTAGCATTACAAGTGCCGGCCGGAAGAGACTACATACTGCTACAACTCACGAGCTCAAAGTCAAAAATTAGCTGAGTGAAGGGAGAGTTTGCAAATTGCAAAACTACCACAATTTTTTTGGCAATTTGTGAATAGGGCTGAATTATACTACACTAATTATGAGTTAAAATTTGAAATTTAAAATTTTTAAAAAGCGGCCCCTAGAGTTTTAGGGTTGTGCCAATCGGGCTACAACAACATCAGCTGCACCTGATTGAGCTCGTTATTTGTGACCGTCATGACATGCTTGCCCACCGGAGGTTCCTTTGCTGATGCCAACGGCATTCTTGCATCTTCTTGTAGTAGATTTTGTGAAATCGAAATCACGGACATTGCCGTTGCACCTGACTCACCCTCCAACTAACTAGTCGGGTAGTTGGTCATTATTGTAGACACCAGTGCAATCCTGGAAGGATAGGAACCAAAGTAACTGGAGTCAGAATTGACCTAAAATAGTTTGGCGGTGGTCCCATCCCTAATGGGCGGTTGGACAGCCAAGCTTTATGAAAGATAATTTCTAAGTTTTTTCTGGTATTGTCGTTCGCCATGATTGGTGTTTGATAGCTTTCCGAATGCTTGTCACAGACGGCGTCAATTGATGTGTACAACACCTCACTTCGGTCCAATGTTGTCTACACCGTCCTTTGAACTACTTCTATCACCTGCAAAGCAGAGCCAATGATGTCCCGACGTGGAGCCTCTAATGTTCAAAGTAGTTTTTGGAGTAGTAAAGGGTTTGTTGATTAATGATTCATAAAAATTTTGATAAGTGCACAGTAATTTTAATTAAATACACATTATTAAAATAGTTTAAATTTGAAATGCACGTTAATGTTCGGTTTCAATTTGGTTGGGACGAATGTTCGGTCCTTACAGACTGTACATGGCGGCCGAAAAACGCGCACATTAACAAATGTCAGGTTGCAATTTTTTGGATTCGCGATATTTTATTTTAGCGTATATGCCGACCAAAATGAATATAAAAAATATATGTATATTTAAAATCCCGAAAAATGTAATTTATAAAATTTAAATTGTATTTTTTCAACCAAAAAATAATATACAAATATATTAAAATTCTAATTTATTTTTATAATAATAAATAACAAAATATTTTAATTATTTAAGCTAATTCGATGTATAATTATATCTATTACAACTCGATTTCAAATACACATAACTTAGTTGCTATTTAATAAAATAGTGCACTTCATAAAACAATACGTTGCACTTTATAAAACAACACGTTGCACTTTATAAAAACAACCGATGCACTTTATTTCGGTTCAATTTACTTTTAAGAAACTCGATTATTTTGTTTTGATGTCAATTTCTTTTTTTAAACCGAGATAACCATACGAACGAATTATATTATTATTATTATTATTATTATTATTATTATTATTATTATTATTATTATTATTATTATTATTATNTTTACATCATTTAGTATTTTTTTTTTCGGTGCAAAAAGAAGAGGCCAAAGGCCTAAGCTAGTACTCTACGGGGATATGACACCCCACTAATGTCATGATCAAGCCAAGAATCTAGGCCCGCTGGTGGAGAAACCAAGCGATGTAAACCAAGCGGGTACGCATACGCCATGCTCGCCATATGATCGGCCGCAAAATTGGCTTCCCTAAATATGTGTTGGATATTGATGCTCCAAGCCCGGTGAATCAAGTCTCGAATAGCTCTAACCATTGCAGCATGAGGTCCCAAGTCGCCTTCGGAGTCACACACCATATTCTTGATGCAGAGGCTATCGACCTCGGCCACAACTTTCCGGTACCCCTTCTCCCATGCCAATAAAAGACCCTGGAAAAGGCCCCACAACTCAGTTCCCGTTATTGTGCAAAAACCGATATTAAATAGGAATCCCGCAAGCCAACGTCCTTCCAAATTGATCTCATTAAATTATTTAGGGATGAAAAGGTTACAAATTACAAGATAGTCTCTAAAATATATCCAATTTATCAAAACCAAACCCATTCCCAAATTAAAAACTCTCCCCTCCATCGTCCTCAGCCCAAAACACCTCCCCTCCATCGCCCTCAGCCCACAACGCTGCCGTCAATCCACCGATAGCCGGAGTCGCGTCAGCCCGCCGCATCTCCGTCGGAGGTCGCTGTCAACCCGCTGCATCTCCGCCATCCTCGCCGCCGCTACATAGAAATCAACCCCAAATCTCACAAATCATAAAAAACGAGCAACACAAACTACCGCCATCAACCTCAGCCTGTCAGCCACAAATCTCGGACTTCTGGCTACCGGTCGCCGCAGTTTCATCTCCGCCAGACGAGTCGGATCTGGGGTGGACGGACAACTCAGGCTAATAGGCAAATTGGTGGTGGAAGGCGGAGGCGAGGTGGCGGTCTATTGAAAGTCGGCGGTTGTTGCCGTCGATATTGAAGCACTCGCCGTCGCCGTGAGTTCTGGACGGGCTGATGGAATCGCCGGACGGTAATAGCAACAGGGATGTCGACGGCGGCAATATGATGGACGGGCCTTGATGCGGTGGTGTGAGCTGCCGGCGGACGGTGGCTGTATGTGGTGTGTGTGACTGTCGCTGGTGGTATCAATTTTTCCGGCGGCCAGAGGTGTTTTTGTGATGGTGCGTGTGTGTGTGTGTAAGAGAGAGAGAGAGAGAGAGAGAGAGAGAGAGAGAGAGAGAGAGAGAGAGAGAGAGACGACGAGATAGAGAGAGATGAGAGATAAATCTGATTTTTATGATATACATGTGAGTCCCACTGATTATGGTGTATGGTGAATTACGTAAATACCTTATGATGTATTTATTTGTCCATGGATATTTATGTATTTACGATTTTGCCATTAGTGAATTGACCATTGTTATTAATTTTGACTTAATTATATCCATTGATCGTACCAATCCAATGGTCTATAAGCATTCTTATTTCTTTCACTGTCTACCATTCTTCATTCTTATTTCTTTCACAATCTACCATTCATATGATCCTTTCTCTCTCTCTATATATATAAGATGTGGTTCAAATGAGAATCAAATCGTAACGTGAGAATGATTATTTTAAACTATATTGTGTTTTTATAATGAATTGTGTTTAATGATAGTTATAATTAGGGTTTTGTTTATAGAAAATAGCGATACAATGTATAATAACACGTGTTATAGTCTAAAGCTTTTAAATTTTTTAATAATATATATATATATATATATATATATTAAACATATATAAAACATCTTCGATTTATACGCATTCCTATAATTATTACAAATTATTGTTTAGCTCTATTTACTAATTACTTTTAACTACATCATATTTTTGTAAGTACCATTTCAATATTGATGGGTCTACTTCCAGATCTGGAGTAAACCGGTTGTTGTGAGCTCAGATCTGTTTGAACCGCTTCCCGACCGTTGCTAGACCGCGAGATTCCTGCAAAAACTCAATGCCGGAGGTGTTTCCGGCGTAGAGCCTCCGACGCTCAAGTCAGTATCAGAAAGATGAGGAGAGGCTGCGCAGCAGCTATGGGGGAGAGTGGGAATGAATGAGAGTTAGGGTTTTGGGGTTACCTCATCTCCTTTATATAGGAGGGAATACTTACTTGAAGTGCCCAAAATGCCCCAGTCGGTGGACCTAGAAGGTCCAAAATGCCCTGGTCGATTCGTCTCTCCTTGTTGCTGAGTCATCACAAGATTCCTTCTTATCCTTTGTAATATGTGGAACTTCAAACATACTGCAAGTGTGATGAATCGTCACCATGTTTCTCGACCTCGAGGCGTAAGAAGTCGACCTCGAGCACTGGGAGGTCGACTCATGATCATATGAGTATCCGGAGGCTACGCTTTATCGTTCTTTTGAGTGGAAATCGTCTTCAGAGAATCGTCTTAGCGAGGTCGACTTCTGAGAGTCGACTCTGGATGCTCGGGAGTTATGCTTTTGTTGTTCTCCCGCTATTGATATCGACTAGAGAAAGTCGATAGACTAAAGTCGACTTCCGAGAGTCGACTAGGTCGATTCCTGCCTCTTCTTGATTGTTCTCCATAGAATCGACTTTAGGGAAGTCGATTTGAGCGTGTCGACGTAGTCATGTCGACATGCGAGTTGTTCGAATGGTTCACCGGTCGAGTAAGGAGCCTCTAGACCGGATTATCCTTATATGGCTATATCAAATATTGTTTTGTAATATTATGTGTTTGATCTTACATATAATTAAAAAATTCAAAGTAAATTTTGAATAGAAGAACATGCAACATATGCAATTCAATATTTCGAAAGAGAATTGTTAGAACTATTAATTAGTACAGCAATAAGCCTTCTCTTGACTACTTAATAGTTAGACAAACACAGTCTTCCAACAAATATATTTATGTTTTCATATTTAAATGTCATACTTTATAGTGCAATACAAATAAAAGTATGACATTCAGTGTATTTTTCGCAGGAAAATATATTTGTCTAACAATTAGGCAGCCTACCAATTATAGCATTCGTATTAATATCGAGTCAATCATCAATGAGGTTTGTGAGTGTAAAGAATGTTGAGCATTTAAACTACCAAAATTAAGAAATTATGTCTTTTGTAGTGCAACTTATTAATTATTTTATCCATTTTAAAATGCAATTTTACGCCTATATATATGTGCATGTGCGTGTGTGAGAGAGGGATATTAAAAATTACATAGTTCCCTTCGAAATGATATTCATGCCAAATCAAGTTCAATACCTCATGTTTAAGCATGTGATAGTTTAACAAATGTCTCGGATCAGCTCGACTATTTAGTAAATAAACAAAAATTTGAGTTCAAACTTGACTTGTGTAAGCTTCAGTCTACTCGATTTGTTTAATAAGAAAATTTGAATAGTTATTCTAGCTTGACTCATTTAAATATATAAATGATATGAGATCAAACTTTCACGAGTTGAACAACACAATTAAGTTCAAATAATTACTTTAACCCCTCTTAATTTTTTTTCTAGAGTCGATCTCTGTTCACACAAGAACTAATTTTAGTTTTTATTTGAAGAGCCTCCCGTATAGATATATCTTTCTTTATGTGAATGCAAGTGTGATAGTGGTAAATTTTTTCGTTGTTGTTTTGCTATTTTAATCATTATTTTGAGGAAAATTTTCTCCAATATGTATAAATGTAGGGTCGGGTGAGATGGAAAGGCTATATAAATAACGAATTTGAAGAGAATGAGAGTGATGCCCAACATATTAGGCGTTCGTCGTGTTGTATTTGCATGTGAATTTCAGCTGGCACTTAGATTAATTATAATTTATAAATCACATTCTGCTCATATGAATTTCTTTTTCGAAAAAACTAATCTTGCAAAACGTCTGGTAAATTTGACATAATTAATCGCTTAATTATTATATATATTTAACAAGACAATGTAGTTTCTACACAACCAAAAAAACTATATTTCGAACTCCATTGAAAATTCTGTACATTTGGTCTTGCATATATAGTTTTTTTTTTTCGAGTCTTGCATATATAGTTATTGAAATAAAAATATTAGAGTTCCCTACTTAATGTCAAATTCAATTCCAGCCGGTAACAATTTTTATTATTTGTGTGAAGGAAACTATATGTCATTCGATTAATGACTATATAAAAATCAAAGGTTCAGAGTACTTCTAAAGATCTCCATAATCATATATTAATTATATCACATATAAGATAAATTTCCTGCTTCAATTATTTTCTTAGAATTTTGTACTTTAATAGGATGAACAAAATGTGCCATAAAAATAGTCACAATTCGTTGACGCTGGAGCTCATTCATCACAAATATATAATTAATCCCTCTATAATTAAATATAATTGTCTCTAAAAGAAAGAGAGAAACAATTCTTAATATCACTCTATACACGTCAAATCTTCTTAAATCATATATATTAATTTTCTAATTATTATTTAAGTACTTCTCACATTTTAATTATTTTCTCTATATTTGATTATTAATTCCTATGTGAATAATGGAAATACGAAATAGTTTTTGCCATTCCTTAATAGCCTTATTAGCCCAACTCAGTTTATATAGCACTTGACAGCTTTTCCTTTTTAGTACGCGTATTTTATAATTTAGGATCGATAATCTGACACAACAGATTGCGTCAACTGTAACAAACTAAAGACATTTAAATTATTTTGCCAAAATTATTTCACCACGAGTCAGAATCTGCTGTGCTGTCTTATTATATTATACTGACCTACCAACAAACATATGTGATAAGACAGAAAACAAGAGATGGACAATACAAGGAATCTATTATATGTTGGTGTTGTATTGGCTATCATGTTTATATGTTGTTATGGGCAAGTGAAGCCAAAGGAGTGCAATCTGTATGAAGGAGAATGGGTATTTGATGAATCTTACCCTCTTTTCGACTCCCCAAAATGCCCTTCCATTCGAAAACAGTTCGACTGCTTTAAGTACGGCCGACCAAATCGCGACTACCTCAAATTCAGATGGCAACCGGGCAATGGCTGTGAATTACCAAGGTTACTCTTTTTAAATTTTCTTTTTGTTTAATAATATTTTAGTTGCTAATGTATGGGAACTTGGATTGATGTCTTTTTGTTGTAGATTTGATGGGAGGGATTTTTTGAGGAAAATAAAGGGCAAAAAAGTAATTTTCGTGGGGGACTCGGTGAGTGAGAATCAATGGCAATCGCTGGTGTGCCTTCTCCGTGATGCTGTTGGGGATGCTAATGTCACCGCCGATGCGAGTAATTCTATGCCGACGGTCACGTTTGAGGTTAGATTTAATTATATATATATGTGATATCCAATAAAAAAATTCATATAGGTTTTTGATTAATTTATATCAAAAGTAACGAAATTATTGATCAGATTGTCAATGTTTCCCGTTTAAAGTAAAGGAACTATTAATTGAAAATCATGTGGAAAGGGATTGGCTGTAAAGTGGGTTGGATTAGCATGATATATGTATTTTGAGTTAATTCAAAATTCATATAAAAAAAACTAAATAATTAAACGGGTCTCAAGATTGATAGAATTAGGCTTGATTATTCAATAGTTGATCATATCGGAGTATTATAATATTACTAAAATATTTGTTAGACTGCCTAACAATAAGACAAACATATTTTAATAAATTAATATATATATGCATGCTAGTTAAATTAAGTAATCACAAAAGAATCATAATAAAATAAAATGATACATAAATAAATATAATTGCAAGCCAATTTTGCAGGAGTATGATGTGTCAATATCAGTGTTTCTATCGCACTATTTAGTGGACATTAGCACAAAAGAAGGGTTTGGGCGGGTGCTGAATTTGGATTCCATAAAAGATGGGGAGATTTGGAGACAAGCTGACCTATTGATTTTCAACACGTGGCTTTGGTGGTATCGCAAAGGACCTAAGCAACCGTATGTCTCATTCCTCACTTGNTATTTATTTATCTTACAAATTATTCAAATTAATAAATGAATGAACGAATAGATACATACTACCTACTCATGAGTAGGTAATATGCCAATTTTAATGGTCACATAAGCTAAGCATGATTAAAAGAGTGTTAAATGTTTGAGCTGATGATTGTTTTCTAATTACAGGGTAAAATGATTTACTTTAAAATGTATTAGATATAAATAAAAACTATGTCTTATAAAGAAAATAAAAATGAAAAGGATCAATAAAAATTAAGTTAACTTGAATTAAAGCGACTTGGCATAAAAATAACAAATTAAGGTCTTTACGTCTGGTTATTATAATAAATAGAGTATGCGAGCCAGATGGATATATGCCCCTACTCTATATATACAATTAGGCATCTGACTCTAGACATCTTTTTCATACAAACAAAATCAAACAATTATTTTATTTCATGTAGATCATGATGTACATATATTAAAGTATAATTTTAGATATAGATCTGCCAATCTTTTACCCCCACTTCTTTATTTGTGTTTTTTATATTTTCGTTGAAATGCAAATCTATTAACCAACACACCACTGCACAAATTAAGTTGAATAATATTAATGTTAAAAATTAATTTTCAGTTGGGATTATATTGAAAATGATGGGAAGATAGTGAAGGACATGGACCGCATGCAAGCATTTCGTAAAGCTCTAATCACATGGGCCAAATGGGTCAACTCTCACGTCGACTCTTCTAAAACCACGCTTTTCTTCCAAGGAATCTCCCCATCCCATTACAAGTAAGATAATACATTTACAATAATAATAATAATAATAATAAATGTTGACTATATCTGATCAATCGATCTACCTTACAGTGGGAGAGACTGGAATGATCCTGGAACAACCGATTGCTCGAAGGAGACAAAGCCGCTAAACGGGTCGACATATCCAGGTGGCGAGCCACAAGCCTTGCATGTGTTGAAAGAGGTGTTGAGTAGCAACGTATCCACATCTAAGCCAGTGCATTTGCTCGACATCACGAGCCTATCGCAGTTGAGGAAAGACGGGCACCCGAGCAGGTACAATGGCTTCAAGGCCATGGACTGCACCCATTGGTGCGTGGCTGGCGTTCCCGATACGTGGAACAACCTTCTCTATGCCGAGCTAGGGGTTCGACAAATATGATGGGATTTTCGAACTTCTATATTTTTTAATGTGTTTCTAATCAATAATATTTCGAGCTACTTAAGGTTTATGATGTATACCTTCACACTTTTATAAAAGTAGGGGTATAGATTGTTACGTTACGTTCTGTTCAATGTCATACATACAATATACACGAAAGAGGGACTAAGTTGATCGTCGGAGGCTCTACGTTGGGAACCCTCCTGACACTCTTTTAGGTACTCGGACAAAGAGGTAAAGCACGATTCGGAGATCCAAACAAAACCGGCTACGCAAACCACTGTTATTTGGTATATCTCTATCAAACTGGCGTCGTCTATGGAAAAATTTAGTTCTACTCGGTTTAAGCGGGACAATGCGTTTCCCCCAAATATAGGAAGCTTTTGACAACATCAATGGCGTAGAGGGAAGGAATCAACATGAGAGAGAGAGAGAGAGAGAGGTGGTGACGACTTTGGTTAGGAATTAAAGCGAAGTTCTTTATGTTTTACAAGTAACGGATAAATGATGTTCTATCCATCTGTGATGAACCATTTAGAAATGCAAAACAATAGAACATAGAACTTTATTTGATCAAACATAAAATCTCATTCAACATAAATAGTGTAAATAACAATAAAAGCCAACTTTTCAGTATACACACTTATAGTCCAATGGTTGTAGAGATCCTTGTACAACTTTTCATGATCTTCGAGATTAAAATATTGAATACTATTCAAATGACCCATGCCCCTATCTAAAGAATCAGAAAAAAAATAGTGTTAAAATAGAAAAAATCAAATTCAAAATTTTATACCTGCCAGCCCAGGTGTCATGACATGTCGAGCGACACCAATTGGATCGATCCTTTTGAGCCACGATTTGTCCACGGTTGTTATAAAAGCAACATCTCCATCATTATTAACTTCTTCTGCTCAAACGTCCTCAAAATCATCATCGTTGCTCAAAGTGATGTTGAAATTCAATCCACGTTTAGGTGTTCATGGGGTTACGATCTCATAGATTGCAAGTATTTCCATCCCATCCAAGTATATTTTCCTTTTATTTTCTACTTTTTATTCGACTCTATGCAGCAGATGATACAAAAAATGTTGAAAAAGCACATCGCTACCAAACTATAAACGATTGTGTACCGTTTTGATAATGGTTAAGCATCATTTTGAATTATCACATTTGGTATATGTAAATCTGTTGCCCAACCTCGTAACTCGCTCATAATATAACATATCCCATACATTTCTGCACGAAGACGTACACAAACAACCACAAAATGCGAGGGAAAACTATTCTCGCTCATTATTCGACCCGACAAGTACAAGTTACTATATTGCAAGACAACAAGGTATTATACACTACAACACCANGAAAGCGAGAAAATCAGACACATGCAAGTACACATGCCTTGATAGTGTACGGTTTTCTCTATACAAGGTTAAGATTGAACAACATTACGTGGTTTTGTTAGAAATGGCTAGCTCGACAGTGATGATGAAAGTTGAACATGTGGCCTCCCTCAAATACCGAACATCTCCATTCATTAGTTTCACAAGCTTCCGGTTTACGAAAAGGCTGATCCCATCTTCGCACGTGTCAGACTCCTCACCAAACATCTGGTCGAGCAGCGCATGTGGTACACCGGCTCCACTGTGTGTTATCCTGCATTCAACACGTAAATCAAGAAAAACATGTACAATTTAAAATTATAAAAATAATCATTGGCATTAATTGCTTCTAGCAAGGAGTAATCTCGTGATCAGAATCTCAAAACCACATGAGGAATGTTTACATGTAGGCAAAAATATTAGAGATAAGGCATAACTCGAAAAAAGTAAGAAAGAAGGTAGTTTTACATCATATTTGCATTTTTTAACTAAGAAAACAGAGGAATATTTAATATAATTGCCTACTGATAGTGGAAGTATATTGGAAATTAGAATTTAGAAAAGCTATATAGTGATTCCAGTCATCAATTTAAAAATCAGAGGAGATCACCCAAATTCAGGATTCCAAACAGAATACAGATACTCTCTCGATGTTGAATGACAGGATCATGAGATGTGCGCAGCTATTAATTTACAGCCAGGGAACTCTTATCTCCACAAGAACCATAATCTACACACATTCCAAATGGTTATTTTTTTCTCAATGGTAATTCATCAATAGTCCCTTAGTTTAACAGCATTCTCACACGGTGGTGGTAATAATAATAATAATAATAATAATAATAATAATAATACATTTATGTGTGCAGATAATATTTAATTTTGACAAAGTATAATCAAACTTGGAAAAAATTTAAATTATTTCAACATTAAATTATTGAATTGTAGACTATATATGTGTGTGTGTGAGAGAGAGAGATATATATATTAATTGACAAATCGAGTTTAAATAGGGTATTATTTTAAATAATTAACTTTGTTAATTTTTAATTATTAGTTGTGCATTTAATTTTTTTTATCATTCTATTATATTATAAGAATATAAATTTCTTTACTTATTCTTTCGATACAAATAATTAATTTTAATGCAACCGTGTTTTTAACGGGCATTACATTAACTGCAGAATAACATAATTATTCTATTTAAGTTTGACAAAAAATGAATATATCCTAAATAAAACAAATAATATTTCATACAAAATATTTTCTAGAATTCAAAATAATATTCCAAATTCTTTAACTTTCTTATTAATTACTTATAATTTTTATTTCACTATAAGAATTTTATTTATTTTTCACTATTTGTTACACAATTAATTTTTTATCAAACACCCGTGAACAGCTGTTGTACTAGTTTTAATAAATATTATTATTGTTGTTGTTGTTGTTAATTAGTAATAATAATAATAATAACTAGTACAACACCCATGTATTACATGGGTGGGGTCGGTGCCTCATCCCGGACCGTTCATGAACGGATTCATAAAAGTGGGATCGGTATCCGGACAAGTCAAATCCAGGACCGTCCCGGTGCCGCCCACCCCTACCATAAATAATCAACATATTTATACATATTCCGAACCTAAATATATTTGGATTAGAAGTAAATTAAATCTATCCAAGCCTAATAACGAAGCATGTAATTTTGACACATAGGATCCCGAAGCATGCGAGCCTGCCACATAGGCTCAGCACGTTCTGAATTAATATACAGGGGGTAGTAATAATAATAATAATAATAATAATAATAATAATAATAATAATAATAATAATAATCACGAGCACACCTGAATTCCAAATGACCCAAATGAACTGATTCCCCAATAGAATCTTTCCTCAAAGTGGCTGCCACACTAAGTTGGCCCCCGCTTGGCGTGGAATTAACAGATACCAGCAAGAACGCAGCCAAGACTTGCTGAAGCCTCACAGAATCACCGTACACAGTCTCCTTATCCAGATTTGGTGCCAAATTGTCCACTATCATAATACCCTTTGCACTGCTCTTCATCATTATCTGACTAATGGCAGCAATCAACACCTCGGGCACCTTAAACTCCACCATCTCCAGATCCAAGTANAAAAAAAAAAAAAAAGGAATATAAATTAATAGACAATAATGTCAACAGATAAGACTCTCAAATGTTGCCAAAAACAATAACAAGTTTCTGTACTTCAGCATATATAACATCTCCACTTACCCTTCAATAATCTGATCAATATCCGTATCGTCCAAAATCTTGTTCAGCTGACGCTGGCAGTGCTGAGTTGTCCTCAATATATTCCTCTGCTCGTCATCCAAATCAGTCCCTTCCATCATCTTCCTGGAGAAAATAATCCCAGACAGAGGATTCTTGATCTCACTCCTTATATACGCCATCACTCTCAACCTCTTCATGGCAATCTGCTCCGAAACCCTCTGCACATGAAGAGCCTTCTGCAGCTCAGGGCTCGGGAGCTGCAAAAAGCAGAAGAGCCCAGTCACAGCCCCCTCACGGTCAACCTTCGTGCTCACGCTCAGCAAACAGTCAACATACTTCCCTTCCCTCGAGAAAAATCCAAACGGAACCCTGCCCGAATCCTGACCAGTCACGACCTTATTCAGCAAAATCCCGAGATTCACGTAAGTTTCTTGATTCTTGAGACGACAGCAGGCTTTGCCGAGCCCAAAGACCTCGCCTAGAAGCATTTTGTCGAGCACTTCTTCACGCTGCCAGCCGGAAAGGTGGGCCATGGCTGGGTTCCACTCAGAGCACCACCCGAATTCGTCGAGCCCGAAAATGGGGGGAATTAGAGGGTTCGGGTTTTGGACGATGGCTTGGTAATCTCCCTCGATACGCGTGAACTTGTCCATCATGCTTCGTTCGGTGGTTACATCTTGTGCGATGAAGCAGACTCCAACGACGTTGTCCTTGATGTCGCGGCTGGTGCAGGCGTTCACGACAAGGCTGATTGGGCCGGATTCGGATCGCGGCCCGTGGGTTTTGATTTCGAAATGCACGTTTTGTTCTTCTTGGCCTGATCAGAAACAAGATGCGATAACTTAGTAGCTTCATTGGAAAAAGAGATGGGATAGGGGGGATGGTTACCAGAAAGAAAGGAGGTTTGCTGTTTGGGGTGATTACAGAAATTGGAAAATTTCTTGGTGGTTTAGTTTTTGTTATGTTGTTATCATTTCATTAATGGAAACAATTTGGAGAGCGATCCTCAATTGAAAAAAACTTACTGTTTACTCTCTTATGTTTCAAGAAAACGATCAAATATCAAGGGCTATTGTGTAAAAAAGATATTGGAAACAAAAATTGTTTATCCGTAATACATAAAAATCTCAACCCTTAAGGTCATTTCAGAATTATCCCAGAATGCCAGAACGACAAGCGCAAAAACATACCTTGATGTCATGTCACCCCAAAAAATAAAAATATCAATCGATAAATCAATCCACGGTTAGCTAGAAGCCTATTCGAGCTAGAATATGAAGCCATTTGAGGTTTAACTCCCATTACATTTTACGACATTCATCACCAAAAGCCATTCGAAAATCACCACCTATATTTGTATAACTGTCAAAGTTACCCCATCACATTGAAACTTATTATTCCAAACAAGGTGCATACCTTGCAGAGCCAACTCCAGCATTCTACGAACAACATCTGCCGAAGATTCCTCAACGAGCGCCAAAAACTTCTGCCCAATAGCCCCATCCACCGGCAACCCTGTAAGCTCCGCAATCTTAGTATTCCATCCATTAACCAGCCCATCCACCCCAACCGCCAATATTGGCACCGACGCCGTCTCAATCAGTCTCACCATCTCCGACGTAACCATCTCCATTTCCTTCGCCCCATCAATATGCAGCTCGTTCAGCCTCGACTGAATCTCCCCCGCCACCACCATATCTTTCCTTTTCGCCTCTTCCTCCTCCTCCTTATCACACGCATTCCTCAGAATAAGCTGCAGCGAGTGTATTGCGTCCATCTCAAACTCCCTCCACGCCACACTCCTCGCTTTCACCACCTCAAGAAAGGCCTTGAAAGACGACCTGGGGTGCATTTTCCTGCCATTGTCCTCCTCCCCTTTTTCCTGTTTTGCCCCACCCCACTGAACTTCGGCTGCCGTGTGGGACCTGAACCAGAACAGCCAATCTCGTCCCGTAATTCTCACAGCCGCCATTCCACAAAAAGCATCCCCTAATGCACCCGCCCCAGGGAATCCCGCTCCAAGCAGACTATCAGTTGTCATGCCTGTCGAGTCACGATGGAACTCATCTAACCACGAGACAATGTCAAAGATCTGGAGATCACTCGGAGAAAGTCCCAGACGATGATTCTTCCCTTTATAGAGAAAAACAGCACCATCGCATTTCACAAGGTCCATCACTGTCGGACTCTGTGTCACGACAGCCAACGGATTTCCCCGAAGCAGCATGTCGCAGAGCATGGTCTGAGTCTTGAGGATGTTTTTCTCGAGCGTTTGGTTCAGAAGCTCGAGCTCCTTACCGACGTGAATGGAGAACACTTGCGAGAGGAACTCGCACGCGTACCGTAGAGGGAAAGGGACGAATCTCGGGGAGGTGTGGTGGCAGACGACCAGACCCCAGAGCCGTTTTTGTTTGTCCGGATGATGATGAGGCGAAGATGATGATGACGTGGCAGAGGAGGATTCCTCGTCAGTTCCTTCATTGATGACGACGGACATTACTAGAGACGCAATCGAGTTCATGTTCTCCATGTACCGAAGATGACAACTATGCGGGGCCCGCAGTGTCGACCCGCAGAGCGTGAGGTTCGACGAGAAGCCCTCGTCTTGCACCACCACCTTCACGTGGGCCGCACGGCAGTCGCAGATCATCCTAACTTTATTCTTCATGAACAGAAAACGGGCCGCCTGAGGAATGTCGGTGGCTGGGTAGTGTAAGCCCAAGTACGGCTCAAGCCCGGGCCTCGTGACCTCAGCAAAAACCTCACCATGATCGTCTTCATGGAATCTATAGACCATCACACGATCGTAACCCGTGAGCTCGAACACTTCCTGAGCCATTGTCTCACATAGCTTCTCCAAGCTTCCACTCGGAAGAGCCTGCAGACGAGTAATAGCCTTTGCCGCCAACTTATATGACTGTAGTGCGCCGGCTGCAGTCATGGGAACCTCGTGAGGCTTAACAGGCTCGAAGTCAATGACCAAACTGCCCGTGACTCGATGGATGATGGCATAAAAGGGCTTTCCGGAAGACTTGCAGTGGACCAGGACAGGGTTGAGCAAGGCCACCTCGCCAAAACCGAAGGCCTTCTGTAGGGCGGCGGCACTAGGGGCTGTGAAGATGGTGCGTATATCGGAGCCTATGGTGAGAAGCGGGTGATCGCCAACACTGGGGACCGCGTGGCTGAGTGTGGTGAGCATTTCAGGGGCGTTCTCGCTGAAGGCGATGACTTTGAAAGTTTTTTCGTGGAGGACGAGTAGGCAGCCGAAGGATTGGATTAATTTGCCTTTCTGAATCTGCTGGAGGTAGGTTGTGGTGGTGGCCATGTCGGATTTTGCAGGGATTTGGGAAAAGGGGAGATTGGTGACTCGGACAGTGGTCGAGTAGTCGAAGGAGGTGCCGGATTTGTCAAAGTCTGCTTGGAGCCTCGCGTCTATGGATGTCTGGGCGACTATACGAGTGTTGTGTCGAGACCTAGTCGGGTTGGTGGAAGACGAGCTTGGTTGTTGGGCCGCCATTTTCTTTTTCTTTTTTTTTTTCTATG